TCGGACTGGTCTTGCCGGGCATCGGCGGTATCACCTTAGGGATGCCGTACCTCCGGGAGCATCGAGCGGAGCTCGATGTCAGCGGGGGGCGGCTCCAGTTAGACGGTCAGCCGCTGCGGCTGACCCAGCGGGCCGGCAAATCCCCCGGCGGAGGGGCCGCCACCGCAAGAGGAAGTGAGGCGCTGAAGGAGGCCCTCGGGAACGTCGGGGACGGGACCGGAGGGCGGCGCCGGCTGGAGGCACTGCTCCTGGAGCACGAGGAGGTGTGGTGCGGGGAGGACTTGGGCCGGACCACTGTGGTGGAACACGGCATCGAGGTGACCGACCCGAGGCCGGTCGCGTGTCGCGGGCGGCGGTACAATGACGCCCAGAAGGCTATCATCGAGGCGGAGGTCACCGCCATGTTGGAGAAGGGGGTGATCCGCCCGAGCCGGAGCCCGTACGCCTCCGGGATCGTCCTCGTCAAGAAGAAGACGGGCGAGTGGCGGTTCTGCATTGACTACCGCCCCCTCAACGCCGTTACGGTGCGGGACGAGTTCCCCATTCCGCGGATCGACGACCTGCTCCGCGCGGTGAGAGGCTCGCGCTGGTTCGTGGCTCTCGACCTGCGGGCGGGCTACTGGCAGGTGGCCATGCGGGAACGGGACGTGCCGAAGACCGCGTTCCGCACCCCGACGGGGCTCTTCGAGTTCGTGGTCATGCCCTTTGGGCTGGTCAACGCCCCGGCCACCTTCCAGAGGATGGTGGAGCAGCTGTTCGGGGACATGTACTGGAGCGGGGTGCTGGTCTACCTCGACGACATCCTGGTACATGCCCCGACGCTGGACGAGGTGCTACGGCTGCTGGGGGAGGTGCTCAGGAGGCTACGGGCAGCCGGGCTCAAGCTCCGGCTGTCCAAGTGCACCTTTCTCCCCAGACAAATCGAGTACCTCGGCCACGTGATCGAGGAAGGGCGTATAGCGCCCCAGCCGAAGAAAGTCGAGGCGATTCGGCAGCTGAAGGCGCCTACGGACGTCCGGGGGCTCCGGCAGCTGCTGGGCATGGTCGGGTACTACCGAAGCTTTGTGCCCAACTATGCCGGAGTCACCCAGCCGCTGGCCAAGCTGATGCGCAGCCAGGTGCCCTACGCGTGGGGCGAGGAACAGCAGCACGCCTTCGAGTTGGTGAAGGCCAGCCTGGTCGGCGCGGCCCTATGCAACGACTTCTCGGGCGCGCAGCTGGTCGTGGAAACGGACGCCAGCGACTACGCGGTGGCGGGCATCCTGTCGTGCGACTCGCACGGCAAGATGACCCCCATCGAGTATATGTCCAAGACGCTGAGCGAGGTGGAGGTAAGGTGGCCCACTAGGGAAAAGGAGGCCTATGCGATCGTGGCCGCGTTGCGGAAGTTCGACGTCTACACTCGGGGACGTCGGACGACCGTATACACGGACCACAAGAGCCTGGAGTGGATGTTCCAGGCTCAGAAGGGGAAGATCGCCCGCTGGGCGGCCACCCTGCAGGAGTACGATTTGAAAATCATACACAAGAGCGGCTCCCAGATCGCGCACGTAGACGCGCTGAGCCGGCTCGCGAAAGATGAAGCGCTGGTGGAGGACCGGATGACCTGCGCGGTCACCGTGGAAGGGGCCGAAGGCGGACTCCCGAGCGGCCAGGAGCTGGAGGCGGCCCATGGGGACGTGGCGGCCGCCGATCGCGCGAAGTGGAAGTTGGAGTCGTGCCA